CCCCCCACCCCACCCCCTCCGCTCGCGAACCATCCCTACCACTACCGTTGCTCTTTCCATCTCTGCTAACCATGCCGGATTCTTCCCCTACCATCGTACAGTCAACAGCAAATCTGGCTTCCCTAGGGAAAATATGACAACTGACAGTGAACGGACATCGCGGTGGCTTCTACTCATTTTTCATGACTAGAAAATTTGACGGGTTATGGAGTTAGGTGGTGAGGTATTTAGGGATGTTGGGATTTGGGATTTAGGGATATTGAAATTTGGAATTTGGGAATATGGAATTTGTGGGATTTGGAATTTGGGGGATTTGGAATTTGGGAAATTTGGAATTTGGGGAATTTGGAATTTGGGGAACTTCGAATTTGGGGAACTTGGAATTTGGGGAACTTGGAATTTGGGGAATTTGGAATTCGGGGAATTTTAAGTTTAGAGATTTGGAAATTGGGGATTTGGAATTTGGGGGATTTGGAATTTGGGGGATTTGGAATTTGGGGAATTTGGAATTTGGGGAACTTCGAATTTGGGGGGAATTTGGGGGATTTGAAATTTGGGAAATTTGGAATTTGGGGAATTTGGAATTTGGGGAACTTGGAATTTGGGGTATTTGGAATTCGGTGAACTTGGAATTCGGTAAATTTGGAATTTGGGAAATTTGGAATTTGGGGAATTTGGAATTTGGGGAATTTGGAATTTGGGAAACTTGGAATTTGGGGTATTTGGAATTCGGTAAATTTGGAATTTGGGGAATTTGGAATTTGGGGAATTTGGAATTCGGTGAATTTGGAATTTGGGGAATTTGGAATTTGGGGAATTTGGAATTTGGGAAACTTGGAATTTGGGAAACTTGGAATTTGGGGTATTTGGAATTCGGTAAATTTGGAATTTGGGGAATTTGGAATTTGGGGAATTTGGAATTCGGTGAATTTGGAATTTGGGGTATTTGAGATCTAGGGAATGTGGAATTTGGGGGATTTGGAATTTGGGATTTAGGAATACTGGGTTTTGGGGATCCAGAGATATGGAAGTCTAGAGAAATGGGAATCCAGATAAATAGCAGATAAATAGGAATCTAGGAATTTAGAAATACACAATTTTAGAAATCTATTTTAGAAATGCCAAGAAATACTCAAATAAGTATTTTCATTTTCAAAACATAATATTTTTAAAATCTGAAAATTGCTTGTAAAGATTGAAAACTTACTAATTCGAGAATTTACTAAACTAGTGAATTTGTACACTTATAATTACCATACAAATTAGAGAATTAAAAAATTCAAAAAATAAAACATTTAGAGATTCGTAAATATACAAAATGGAAGTTTACACACGTGTAGCTGTCCGAAGGAAATGAACGTTGCATCCGAGTGTACTCACCCCACTCCACCCTATCATTCCACCCTCTCCAACCTTCGTCCCAGGCTCTCAGCTGTCCTATGGGTGTTCTGCTTCCTACCTTTTCCCTCTTTCACCCCTTTCTCTCTGTCTTTCTTTCTCTTACTGGCTCTCCGACAATGACTTCCTTTCCTGCTTGCGCACCCCCGATTCTTCACGATGCACCACTGGTACAGAACTGAAATTTAGATGGTCATGGTTTTAAATAAAGATAGTCTTTAATAATTCTTAATGCAACTCTTGTTACTTTAAGATTAAACGAAGAATGGAATTGAATTATTTTATTATACAAGGAGTTATTCTGGTACCGTCGACTTCATAAATTATTTCGAATTAATGTAATGGAGGTTGAATTAGTACAAGTGCGTTGGGTGGGTTGTAGGATTTTTAAGATTATTTACAAATTGAAAAAGTTGAACAACCGTTACTGAAAATTTAAGTTTTGTAAGTTTTCAAGCTTCCAAAATTTTTAACTCTACAAATTGGGGATTTGGAATTTGGGGAAGTTGGAATTTGGGGAAGTTGGGATTTGGGGGATTTGGAATTTGGGGGATTTGGAATTTGGGGAATTTGGATTTGGGAAATTTGGAATTTGGGGAATTTGGAATTTGGGGGATTTGGAATTTGGGGAATTTGGAATTTGGGGGATTTGGAATTTGGGTAATTTGGGGAATTTTGGGATTTGGGGGATTTGGAATTTGGGGAATTTTGGGATTTGGGGAATTTGGAATTTGGGGAATTTGGAATTTGGGAAATTTGGAATTTGTGAAATTTGGAATTTGGAGAATTTGGGAAGTTTAGCTTCTCACTCCCCAATTTTCTAAATTCCAAAACACCCAAGTTTTCAACTCTCCAAATTTCCAATTCTCCAAATCCCCACTTCCCCAATTTCCCAAACTCCCCAAATTCTCAACTCTCCAAATTCCCTACTTCTCCAAAACCCCTCTTCCCAATTTCCCAAACTCCCCAAATTCCCTACTCCCCCAAATCCCCACTTCCCCAATTTCCCAACCTCCCAAAATTCTCAACTCTCCAAATTCCCCAATTTCCACATCCCTCCAAATCACAAACTTGCAAATTATAAAAATGTTTAATATTAAATCCTGAACCCACTATATTCCAGATTCGCATAAACAGCCGAATATCAATTGTGGAGCAGCGGTGGCGACGTCCTTATTCACCGTCACCCCTAATGTCGCTGTCCCTTTATTCTACCGTCTCTTTCCAACCCACAAGTCCGTCCTTCAGCCACGTCACAGCTTTTCTCTCTTTGTCGGTCGAATCGGAAGTACAAACTGGGTCGTTACCGTCCAGGGTGGCACGCGTGTTCCGAGGCCGAGTCGTACGCAGGGTTTTTCGAGTTTTCCCAGGGACTCGCGCAAACAGGACGGTGCACCCGTTCGAGAGCGTACGAGGCTTCCGTGAAAGCGTGTTGGCTGTGCTCCCGTGGGCAAAGAAGGGCGTTCTCGACGACAGGGATCGCTAAAACCTGACCGAGGATTAGTCGAAGTCTCTTCGTAGAGAATCCTACGGTGACGTAGGATTTACCCTCGCGAAAGTGGCGGCGCGAGGGA